AAGGAACTGTTCTCCACTGTTGGTAGGAGTATAGACTGCTGCAACCATTGTGGAAATCAGTGTGGAGATTCCTCAAAAAACTTTTTTTTTTTTTTTTGGTACCAGGGATCGAACTTGGGTCCTTGAGTTTGCAAGGCAGGCAGCGGAACCACTGAGCTAAATCCCTGGCCCTAAAAAACTAAAACTAGAGGTTCCATTCAACACAGCTATTCCCCTTATTGGTATGTTCCCAAAAGAATTAAAAGCATCATACCACAGCAATGTATGCACAGCCATGTTTATCTTGGAAACAGCCCAAATGCCCATCAGCTGACAAATGAATAAAGAAGATGTGGTTTTTTTACACAATGGAGTATTACTCTTTCATAAAGAAGGATGAGCTTGAGATATTTATAGCTAAATGGATAGACCTTGAGACTACACGCTTAAGTGACCTGAATTAGACACACATGTTTAAATACCACATTGCTTCTCTGGTGTGAGAAACTGAAAGTGGAAATAAGGACTAAAATATATAACAGATATTGAGAAATGAGAAGAAAACGTTCAAATGAGGAGGGGAACAAGGGAGGCGGAAGGGGGAAAGGCAAGAAGGAACAAGAAAAAAGGAGAATAAAAGGGAAAAACAGGAACAAAGCTTTTGTACATATGGAGGGGAAGAAGGGTGGAAGGAGGGGAGAGGAATGGAAAAAAAAGCAAAATATTTATGAACTGTCAATTCTATCATTGATTTTTTTTTGGCAGGGAGGGTGTGTGTCACTTTGGAATCAAGTTTTGCATATTTAGCTTTATTAAAAGACTTCTGTCAGGGCTGGGGATTTAGCTCAGTGATGACAAGCCTGCCTCATAAGTGCAAGGTCCTGAGTTCAATCCCCTGTACTGGAAAAAAAAAAAGACTTCTGTCAGAGTTTAAAAAAAAACAAGCACTCACTGTATTTTAACCTCTACTCTTTTTTTAACACTGTAAATCTCAGAAATTTAGAGGAAGCATTATACACTGATGGAACTGTGTGTTAATTCATTGATAAAATTCATGAATATATAACCCATATATGATTATCTATAGTATTTCAAAAACTCAAATGTTTATGATAGTGCTATAATACATGCAACCATTTCAAAAGATGTTATAGAAAAGTATTTCATTATGTAGAAATATGGTCAAAATATGTTTCATAATAAAAGCATATTACAAAAAGTATTAATGTATTATTTTACAGTGTAAAAATACATCCAGAAAAAGATAAGAAGGATCTAGTACAGGGGTGGTGAACCTATGGCACATGTGTTGTTTTTCCTTTAAAACAAAGTGTCAGGTGTGGTGGCATATGCCTATAAACCCAGCACTTGGGAGGCTGAGATAGGAGGATCACTGAATTCAAGACTAGCCTGGGCTACATACTAAGTTCAAACCCATCCTGAACTACATACCGAAACCCTGTCTCAAAAAAAAAAGAGAAAAGATGTTAATGTATGAGTTGTTTTTTCTAAACTAAAACTTCAGTATTCAGGTTTAATTGCAGTGTTGGCACTTTGTAATAAATAAGTGGGTTTGAGGTTGCAGTTTAGGCACTTGTCTAAGAAGTTCACCATACACACAAACACACACACACACATACACACACACACACATGTTTAAAGAGTGAATGATTTTTGAATTATCTATACTTCTCTGAATTTTCCAAAATTTCTATAATAAACATTTGTAATATGAAAAAGTGATGAAAGGTATTGTTTCAAATTGTAACAATGAACACATGGGTCTCCATGTCCCAGGATAGATCACATTTGCTTCCTATTTAGATCTGAGTGTGCTTTCCTTGCAAGGCACAGTCGAGTAGCACTTACCTGTCCAACTGCTTGCAGGTTATAGCAGACAATGTCCTTATAGGCTGTTGAAGTTCCATAAAGAAGTGCCTCCGTAAGCCAGCAAATTCCCAGGAGCAGGTCAGAGCAGCTCAGATAAAAGAGTGGCCTTATCTGTCAAAAGCCACAAAATTCTCATATAAGTGAGATAGCTGGGAGAACATAAGAATCAATTTTTTCTCTTTTTGAGACAGGGTCTCATTATGTAGTTGAGGCTGGCCTTCAACTGTGTAGTCCAGGCTGACCTTGAACTCACAGTGACCCTCCTGCATCAGCCTCCTGAGTGCTGGGATTACAGGAATGAGCTACCACGCTCAGCTCTAAGAATCAATTATTTTTACAGTTTAAGTTTTGAATAGAAAACTAGTGTCATTTTGCCAATACTTCTGCTATTGGTTGTGGGAAATGTAAAGGAAAATTCCAGACGGGAAGGAATCTGTAATCACAACTATCTCAACTGTCCTGGAATCAGAATACTCATGGATGGATTAACACTCAACCTTCTTACTCATAGAGATAATCCTTTCTCAGACAGACAGTCAAAGGAAGAATGAAAAAGTAAGAAATATTGTGCTGGAGACACACCACAAATGAAAAATCAAAAGGTCTCTAGTTGTACAGTCAATATCTTCTAAAATTAGAAAATGAGATCATCATCAGCTGTTTAGGAATATAGTTGAGACTTCTGACCACACTGATGAAGTTTGTCCTCTTACTCTCTAGCATTCTCCTTTTGGATTACCCATTCCTGCTTATTTAAAAATAATTTTGGTCCTTCTGGAAAAAAATTACGTTTTGGGGCTTTTATTCTTTTGCTTTTTTTTTTTTTTTTTTTTTCCCCGGTACCAGGGATCAAACTCAGGACCTTGCGGTTGCGAGGCAGGTGTGGCGCCACTGAGCTAAATCCCCAGCAAAAAATTATGTTTAGTGAGAGATATCAAAGAAGATCTAAAGAATTATGTCATGCTGGCCAGGGATTTAGCTCAGTGGCTCTGCTGCCTGCCTCGCAAACGCAAGGTCCCGAGTTCAATCCCCGGTACCAAAAAAAAAAGAAATATGTCATGCTCATAGATTGAAAGATGCAATATTATAAAAATGTCAGTTCTCCCTAAATTGATCTATAGATTAAATGTAATCTCATTTAAATTTCAATCAATTTTCCTATAGAACTTTACAAGCTAACTCTAAATATGATGCAGAAATACAAAATATTAAGACATTCTTTTAAAAAAAAGGAGGAGAACGTGCCCTATCACAGTTTAGGATTTCATCTAAAGCTAGAGTACAGATACAGCACTATAGTATTAGCACAGGAACAGACAAACAGAATGGAGCAGAGCCCAAAACAAATCCAAACATACATATGGACCTTTGATATATGATAAAGGTGGATTTTTCAATCAGTGGGGAAAGGGTTGTTTTTTTCAAAATATGATATCAGAATAACTGGATGTCCACCTGGAGAAAAATGAAATTTCACCCCTACTTTACTCCTCATACTATACTCAAAAAATAAGCTCCAGGTAGTTGAAAGACCTATGTATGAAAGGCAAAACCTAAAAAAAAAATTTTTAATGATATAGGAAAATGTTTTCAACTTCTGGTTAGGCAAAGTATTCCTAAACAAAACACAAAAGGCTCCAAAAGAAATAATTTAAAATTTCAGCAACATTAAAATTAAAGGAAAAAAGGTCTTTAAAAAAACACCAAAAATGGCCGGGGATTTAGCTCAGTGGTTTTGCCGCCTGCTGTGCAAGTGCAAGGACCCAGGTTCGATCCCCAGTACCAAAAAAAAAAAAAAAAAAAAGAGTTGGGCATGGTGCACACTTGTAATCCTAGCACTCTAGGAGGCTGAGGCAGAATTCCAAGTTTGAAGCCCCA